TTATTTGTTGAAACTGTACTTTCGATTTGATTTGAAACTGTCTCATTGCTATATGTTTATCAATAAAACTTTGAAAAGAAAAGAAAAAAAAGATTATATTGAAGTTTTCTCCTTTTTTTCTAATTCTTCTCAATAGAGAATTTTACTCTCATGGCTCAGTAGTAGCAAACAAATGTATGGATAATTAGTGTTTAGCCAAATGACTAGAAACCAACCCTACCAGTATCTTTTTCAGTACACACATAAGATGAAGTGGGGCAAGGACAGAATAAAATGCTTCCCTAAGACTTGGTACAGAGTTGTTTAGGAAAAAAAAATATTGTGACATGGTTTGGTGACTCAACTTTGTATTTTATTTCTTTAGTTTTGAGGCGTTGATCTCAATATGTAGTTCTGGCTGGCCTTAAACTCACTGGGTGGTCTGGGCTGGCCTTGAACTCATGACAAGCCTCCTGCCCCATGAGTGCATGGGCCACTATACCCTGGTTTCAGTTTTGTATTTTAGTGAAAATTGACTGGATTGCCGTTCTCCTACCCCCAAACTGGCCTTTGTCTGCTTGGTTTAGGTGTTCTAAAATTCAAATGAGTTCAAATGAGTTTTGAATTTTTTTTTTTTTTTTCAGAACCAGGGATTGAACTCAGGCCCTTGTGCTTGCCAGACAAGTGCTTATTCTACTGAGCTATCGCCCCAGCCCCATGAAATTATTTTAGTAACAATGATGATTCCTCAGCATATTTTCATAAGTCAGAGGGTAAGCTTTTTATATTTTTCGAGTGTTGCCTTCTATAAGATAGGCTGGAATTGAATATCCCTGTTTTTTATTTCAGTGATACGCTAGGGGATATGATTACCTTAGAACATTTTTTGTGATAGTGGGAATTGAAGCCAGGAACTCAGGACGTTGTACATGCTAAAAGTGGTGTATTGGGGCTGGTGAGATGGCTCAGTGGTCTAAAACACCTACTTAGAACAAGCTTAGCAAAGCACAGGGACCACGGTTCAATCCCCCAGCACCACATGCCGGCCAGCCCCGCCCCCTGGTGGGCTGAGCTGGCCACACACACACAAATAAATAAAAAAAAAAATTAAAAAAAGAAAGTGGTGTATTTTTCAGTTATATCCCACACCTACCCTCCCCTGCTTTTTTTTTTTTTTTTTTTTTTTAATGTACTGGGGATCAAACCTCAGGACTTTGTGTTTGCAAAGCAGGTGCTTATGCCACTGAACTATCTCTCCAGTTTTTTGAGACAAGGTCACCTTTAGTGCCTGGGCTGTATTTGGAACTTGAGTTTCTCTTCAGCTTCACAAATAGCTGGGACAGAGAGAACCTGTGAAATATGCTAATATAGATGGGCTTGTTTCAGGTTGTATAGGCATTGCAAAGCAGTAGTGTGATTGAGAAAGGGATATAGGAGCGATGCTTATTATTATTAATTATTATTATTATTATTATTATTTTGCGGAACCAGGGATTGAACTCAGGCCCTTGTGCTTGCCAGGGAAGCGCTTATTCCACTGAGCCATCTCCCCGGCCCCTAGATGCTTATTTTTTTAGTTTGTGATTATTAGCATTGTAGGCATTTTCTATTCACATTTTTCTTTCCACCTTGTCTCTGCAGCTGTGTAACATGATCAGAAGAAGATGAGCTTGAATTCAATGTGTGTAGGGGGAGTGGTGACTTCTGTGGGGGGACTTTCGTGTGTCTTTTCTTTTTTTCCTTTTTTTTTTTTTTTTGTGGCTGACTCAGCCCACCCTGGGGGTGGGGCTAGTGTAGCACGTGGTGCTGGGGATTGAACCCAGATCTCTGCGCACTTGCCTTAGCAGGCTCTTTAGACTACTGAGCTATCTTGCCTGTTTTTTCTCTTGCTGAGACAAAATATCTGACTTTCAAAGTTCAGAAAGTAAAGGTTTATTTAGCTCACAGTTTGTGGAGGATTTTATAATCAACTGGCTCTAAGGTAGGGTGGCATGGCGCAGGGCCACTTCCAGGTGGCAGAAGATAACAAAAGCAGGGGTGGGGAACAGCAAGCCTCTTATTCTCCCTTATATTTTAAGCAGGCTACTTGCCCACAGCGTCTCCCTGCTCTTCTCTTGCACAGGCTCAGGATGTTTATAAAGTGAAGACCCTGGCCTCCTGCTGAGTTACTTAGTTAACCTTCTGGGGTTCTCAATTTGACAAAACTAATAACATTCAAGACCAGTAAGAGCATGTCCTCTACACCCTATGATGTAGAACTGCTGCATTACTTAGTGAAGCATCTAGACTTCCCAAATCTACAAAATGTATCAATTACAGGTGTTTCAGAAATTATAGCTTAGGGCCAGGGAGATGGCTCAGTGGAATAAGCACTTCCCTGGCAAGCACAAGGGCCTGAGTTCAATCCCTGGTTCCGGAAAAAAAAAAAAAAAAAAGAAATTAGAGCTTAGAAAACAAATAATAGGACTGAAACTATCTTTTTGTTTGTTTCTTAGACAAAGTCTCACTGTATAGTCAGTCCAGGCTGGCCTTGAACTTACTATGTGGTCCAGGTTGGCCTCCAACTCAGCAGTGCTCCTGCCTCAGCCTCATGAGTGCTGGGATCATAGGCCTAGGATGCCCTGCTCTGATACTGTTTTGCATATCTCTTTGTCAAATTATGTAATATAAACATTAAAGTATTAGAAAATTTCTGTAGTTGAGGAAAATTGCAAAGTCAACCTCATTATACCAGTTGGAGATGGTCTTTTTTTTTGGGGGGGGCTCTGGCACAGCAAGTGGGGCCACTGAGCTGTTTTGCCAGCCCGATGGTCATATTTTGGTACATAATGTTTTGGCTTTTTCTGTCTGTAGTATAAATATTCTACATGAATTCATAGATTAAATATTAGGGGCCAGAGGTTTAATCCCCAGTCCTGCCGTGCCCGCACCTCCCCTGGTGCATGCTGAGAGGGCGATTGAGGCTGGGCATGGTGGCGCGCGTGCCTATAATCCCAGTTTGGGAGGCTGTAAACAGGCAGATTACTGTGAGTCTGATCTAGTGGAGACCCTGAGCACTCTGTAGACCCTTCCTTAAAA